GGACTCTGAAGACAATAGAGAGCACAGCTGAGATACAATCGAGCCTATTTCCTGTCCTATTTCCATTCTGTTATACCTCACCCTGCCTCTCTTTCCTTCTCAGTTTCTACTTAACAGCCCTGTCTGCATCTATTGCTGCCTCCACCCTGTGAAGGTGTCTGTGCTTCACTGAGTCCATGGCCAGCCTCTCTCTAATGCCTCCTTTTCTGTTTTGTTTCTTATTCTCTTCCCTGGTGAGGCTCTGCAACTCTCCCCCTTGTCTCCCAGTTTTTCTTCCTAACTTTCCTCCTCCAGGTCTGTTCATCAGGATATCTGGCCCCATTCCTGCCCTCTCTGTGTCTGTGTGATTCCCCCTTTGTTAAATAACTGTCTCCCTGCATCATGCATTAGTCCACTCCCTGTGCTCAGCCAGGGCCCCCCTGGCCCCTCCTCATGCAAACCCAGTGAGTCCGTCTTACCTGCTGGCTCAGGCTCTTGGCCACATTGTTGATTTGCTTGTTGGCTTCCTAGTGCATCATTTTTGTCTCCTGTTGTGTCATTTCTCCTTGTGTTTGCCTGTTCTGTTTCACAGAGGTGCTCCAAGAGTCCACTCTCAGGTGGGGATGTACCTAAACCACGTTTTGATTCATAGATATTTTATTTTTTCCCTGCTGCTCATCACTCCTTGTCCCTTCCAACCACCACAGCATGGGCCACTGCTGGATGGAGGTCAAAGCACTAAGGCCGTAGCCACAGTCAAGCAGACACAGGCAGAAAACTGTGAAGCAGGCACATGAGTAAAACATCTAGGACCAGAGCAAACAAGAAGTGGCAACAAGTGTGTCCAAGGGGTATGGGAAGAGGAAACCCTCCCAGGAAACCCAGAGGATAAAGACCTGTAATTTAAATCCTGAACTTGAAACACTGCAGATGCAAAGACTGAAAATTCTGGGCAATCAGTTACACAGAGATGCAGCCACATGGCACATTCCAGAATGGGATGAGGCAACAAAGGACAGAACAGTCAACAGGAACAGACCAGTGGAAAAGCAGGAATCTGAATGTGGTCCAGGTAGGCTTGGAAAAACGTTTTCACCACTTCCTGGGGGGAAGAAATTAGAAGTTTATTTCAGAAATTTAAGTGTGAGTTTTGCCCTTTTCCCCTGGTCCCTTTTTAGTCTTTATAGTGTAGGAGTTAAAGACCTTCTAAGTCTCAGTGCGGAGCCCATCAGGAGCTGGCAGATCCACCAGGTCAGAATTACCTCTGGCTGAGAAGCCTCGGCCAGGCCGCCTCGCATTCTGGTAAGTAGCCATAGTTTGTCTCGACATCCCTGGGCAAAGAGACCCTGCCTTTGTCCCAGAGTTGCCCTGCCCTGAGCCCTCTCTCAGTTCCTGCCAAGTCCTGGTTGCCTCGACCCCACTCCCTTTCGTACCCTGCCCATCCCCCATCTGTTCATTTTTTCCTGTCAGCGTTTCCGTGAGGATTCAGCGTCTGATTTGCCTCCACTTCCTGCAGTTCTTGCTCTTCTTTTCTCTGTGTTTTTGTCTCTGCATGTTTGTCCCTATTTTTGTTCCATGTTTCTACCTTTTCTGTTAGATTACCTGGGTAGCAACACAAGGTTAAGAACAGAGGCTCTGGGTTCAGAACACCTGGGTTCGTCTTTGCTCATCTGACCCTAGGAAAAATCCACACATGGTCTCCCTAGATTTCCATTTCTTTCTCTGCAAATTGGGTACCTAAGTAACACTAATCTCCAGTGGCAGCCGTGAACACTAAACCAGTAACTGCCACAGAGCAGATGTTTATTCAGAGTGAGCTATTGCTAACGAGCTCTTCTCTTCTGTCTTTGGTTTTCCCTCCCCCTGACTCTCTCTCTCAAAGTACCCAGGTCCTCTTCTCCACATGTGAACCACTTACTCTGTGTCTCTCTACTCGACTTCCTTTCTCCGTGAATATTCCTGCTTTTTAACAAGATTCCCCACATTTAAATTAGTCCTTTCTTCTGCCATTACCAAGTGTGATATTGTGATGTCGTAAGAAATAAGTATTTTGCTCTTCCTCTCCTCCTGGTCAGAGTTCCTAAAACCCTAGTAATATCCTAAGTGTTAGGGTGAAAACAGCATCTTTTGTCATTCATAAAACAAGCCCCTTTCAACTACACCTGAGGTTATGTTAAGGTGACTTTTGGAAAACCTTTAATGATGGAGACTGGGTAGGGGGGTGAAATGAACACATGATTAGAGATTTGGGATTTTCAGCCCCCCACCAGCATCCAGAGAGGGAAGCTGGGGATGTAGGTTGACTTAATCAACTACAGGCAATTATTTGATCAATCATGACCACATAAGGGAATTTCTGTAACAGCCCTAGATGACTGGGTTCAGAGCGCTTCTGGGCTGGCAAACAAACGGGAGTGCTGGGAGGGTGGTGCGCCCAGAGAGGGTGTGGAAGCTGTGTGCCCCTTCCCCATACGTTGCCCTATGTGTCTCTTCAGTTTGGCTGTTTTTGAGTTGTATTTTTTTGTAATAAAGTGGCAAACGTGTAAATGTTTCCCTGAGTTCTGTGAGCTGTGCTAGCCAAGTATCAAAACCAAAGAGGAGGTCATGGGAACCTCTGATTTACAGCCAGTTGGTAAGGAGCACAGGCCACAACCTGAGACCTGTGACTGGTGACTGAAGTGAGGGCCTGACCCTTAACATGCACAGTCTGTGCTAACTCTGGTAAAACTGAATTAAATCAGAGGACACTTGGCATCTGCACAGAACTGGAGAACTGGTTGGCATGGGGAAAACCCCGCACAGGCGCTGTCAGAAGTGCTGTGAGTGTGAGGGCTCAGACAACTAAGACAGGTGTTTGTCTTTCACTCAGAGTCTTCTCTTTAGTATTGACCATGGGCCACAGTTCTTAGCCATTCACAGCTTCACAGGGATCTTCTCCTGAGGGACCTGGCTACATCACCATCACTTCCAGGCAGTTAGTCTTGCAATCTGGCTACTGACACACTTACTCCCGTCCCTTCATCCTGGTGATTGGGCCAGCAGTGTCTTGTGACGGCTGCCCCTCCAGGACCCACACCTGGGTGGGAGCTCAGACAGACTCCCCTC